ACTTGTAAAAATAAGGATACAAAATATTGATCAACCTGCTGTCAGCCACAGTCGTCTACCATGACAACCAGTGTCTTTAACAGCAGTAATGTATGCTGGGTAATTTTACTGCTTCAATTAGAATGATATTAAACTAACCTCAAATTGTGGGGTAAAATTGGTCATTAACATTTGACTTGATAATGAAAATAATAAAATCGATCCGACACCTTTTCCTTTTATTTGAATGAATATTGCGCTCTATGATGCTTATTGTAAATAAGGGGGAGCAAAAGTTAATTGGATTTGTCAATTTTCTAACATGATTGAATAATAATTCGGCCATGGAAAATAATATTCATTGACAAATATAATTGCTTTATAGATTATGACGATGATGAAATCAAAGCTATCTGTAAAGCTATTGTTATATTTATGAAAAAACTTCGTGATACTTTCAATGAATTAAGTGAGGTACTAAGCATTGCATGTTTAGTGCCGTGTTGAAGTATGGAAGAAAAAACTACAGTATGGGGAGAAGAAAGCACAATAGTTGAATTTGACCATTCTTGTGCTATCAACACAATTGAATTTGACTGTTTGGCAGTTCTCAAACCAATTGTATCAGATATCGCAGTACAGTCACCTTGTCATGGATATAAAAAAATAATATCAAAAAACGCTGTCGAACCTTTTGTATGAAAAAACACTTATAGAACAAAGTGAATCGTATAAAAAAGCTTTTTCAAATCACACAAACGATGTGATGAACACTTTAAAGTCTCTCTTACTTTCATCTGATGCCGCCGATTCCAGGGCCTCTGAATGTGCTTCTGAAAAGAAACCAATTTCATTTACGACGTTTGTTTCACGACAAATTGAGAAAAAGATTAAAACTGGGGAAAACATGTCACGTTATAAGGATCTGTTAAGACTACATAAGTTTGTGAGTGGAACTAGCAAAGCTGTTTCAAGTGAATTTACTGTGAACATCGATTTGGCAATAGAAGCTATGTGTCAGTCATGTGAAACAGAAAGTAACATTGAGGGAGAAATACTTGTATACGAACATGATATGCCCACTGGTACTCTGCAGTATGGAAGATGTCTACCAGGATGTCAGCTTGCATTAGTTTGGAAAACCAAAAACAAACCGTCCGTTGATAAGATGACATACGCCGATTTCGTTCCAGCTTTCCAAATTTCAGAACAAACATCTAGTGAAGAGGATGACCCTACCAAGTATCTTGTCGCTAAAGGTTGTGGTAATTCGTTCTGTGATGCTGGTTGCTGGAGATTGTCTCATTGTAGTTCAGAGTGTAAAGCTATCCAGGCCACTCCGCAATGTCATAGGGATGTATACAAATTTCTGAAAATCTTCAATCATAGCAAATTATCAAGACGGTTAGACAATGCACTGAAATTATATCACATTAAAACAGCTCTTTTAAGTCACACTAAACACTGCAAGGGCACATCACACAATATAACAGATTGCCTGTGTAAGACTTTAGATATTATTAACAGTTACATTGAAAATGGAATGGTACCTCACTGGAAAGATCAAAATTATACGTTGGAGCTGAAACAAGACTCTTGCCATAGATTTGTCCCTACACTTTTACAGTTCATATTGAACCAAACTGTGAAGCATTCACCTGTACGACTGTATTTAACCATATGTTGTGAATGGAATAGAGGCAAAGAAATGTACTTTTATAAATGTGGATCAAAGCTTTCAGATCTTGTTTGTCAAATTATTGAAGGAAAAGACTGCTACAGTAACCTTGAAAGAGAAGTTGAAAACACTTTAATTCAAGCTGCAGATTTGCCACCATAATTTCATCAATATAACCTCAGGTATTCATTAGTCGTTGAAGATAAAGAAATCACACCTGACACAACAATTATTTATCAACGATGAGTAAACACGTGATTTTTGAAATTTCATTCAGATATTAAATCACACTAACTCAGCATCCGTTTTATTTGATTTTTCCTACCAACTTTTCAATCGAGCACCATTGATGAGTCTCATGTAGATGGAACGCGCGTCTGGCGTCCAACATTATAAGCCTGATATATTTGATGAGTTTTTATATCAGAGTGGTGAAACCAAAACCAAAGGATATTATTATTCTCCAACAAAGAATTGTATTAAATATATAAACATGTTACATATTAAGTTAATGAAATATATTTAGAGATACACCATCTGGATCTAGTTATTTCCTAAACTCAGAACATATTATGATACATGTCTCTATAGATAATTGTTTTCTTGATTTGTCACTGGAAAAGAATGATTTTTTATTTCAAATATTGCTAAATTATATAGTTAAACATCTACAATTTTTTATGTTTATGGTTATTTCATTTTTTGATTGATCTTGATATTGAAAAACTATGTGTATTGACATGTTAGAATAGAAGTACTGAAGTAATCATTTAATTTATATCAAAAGATAAAGTTGTTACTTGTACTTGTACTTGTAATCCATAAAAGGAGATATGTTATCTTAAGTACATAAAACATAACAAAGTCAAAGATGACATATGAATGATGTCAATAGAAACATCACAATGATACCAGTTTCAAGGGACCTTATGCAACGCCATAATATTACACATTTCAAAAGGAGCATTTTCAAGGATGATTCACCGATCTTATCTTTAATATAACCACATTGAAGAAAATGTTATTTTGCGCATATAAATCAGTTTAGATTCCCGATAATGTCTATGAAACCATTTGCAAAACTAACAGATTTTATGGTAAGTCAGGCATAATGATAGGGTCTTCGATTCTGAATTGGCGCTAAACATTAAAACATTTCCAAAAGTGTCACAAAATCTGACCAAATTTTGAATGCATAGAATATAAAGGAAATACTTTTGTTCTAAATTCTTTTCACGATTCATCATTTAAAGCTAGTAATTTAGCTTTGTATAATTTACTCCACTTTCTGAGATTATGCAATTAATATCGCAAATGGATATAAAACTTACAAAAACATTACTACACATGCCAGCTTGATCATCTTGTGTATTAATAATTCGTTTCTGTGGACATTCAGACAAATATAAAGACCTAACCAACAGAAACAAGAAAAGTTCTATCAAACATAATTATGTTCTCCACAAACCTACTGTAGGAACTGTTTCTTCGGTAATATATCTCATGATTACTCCACTTTCTGATTTTTATGGAAAAGTCATACAAACAATATCAAAATGATTGTAAACACTAGCTTGGGTTCTAATTTATTACATCTCAGGCTTATTACCCGATCTATTATATTACATACAAAAAGGTTTTTCTTGGTTGGTTCCCTCCGTAAAATATTCGGTATGCCTCCGGAATATTCAAATTATGTCAAACTTATCAATAACGGACGGGTACTGTTTTGTTTTATTGCTATTCATCTATTCGTAATTTTCTTTTGACCATGATGATGCCTGTTTTCTTCGACTTACAGTTTGATTACACCTTTATCTTCTTTTTTTGGAAGTACATTTAGTATAAAGTCATAGTAAAGTAGGCCCAAGTGCCTCTATCTAATATCTAAAAGAACAGCTGAAAATAACCATGCATTGAAGTACAGCGTTAATGTATAAAGTCAAAGAGTTTTCTAATTCGTTGGGTGCTGTCTCATTTATGTATTCTTTACATCTCTTGTATCAACACTGATAGAACAACACATAAAAGAACACAAATAGATCCTTCATCATCATTACGTCCAACAAAGTCGATTTAGAAATATACTTTTAATGAAAAATTAATAGGACACGAAGTAGTAGAAAATGTCTTTTATAATTCGTATGTAAAGTTAACATCTACTTCATTTAATTTTTTCTTCAACAGATCGTCAAATTGTTCATTCTGTGCAACTGTAAAATTGTTCTTCCAATCTCCAACAACACCTAAAACGAGCAATCATAGATAGTTTTATTACTGGTAAGATGCTGTATATTGTAAAGCAATCTGATAGAGCTTATGAATATAAATTCATAGGTCGTATTAACACGTATAGTTCAAAATCTTTACTTCCTATCAAAATCTAAGTTTTTCATTGAAAGTCTCAAAGAAATATTCGTTACGGTGGATAGTTTTTTCTTACGAGACTGCTTTCAACAAACTTAACCAGTTCAAGACTTAAATTTGCACATTTTACTAATGTTTTATAAGCATGCTTCATCGAATTTTGTGAATAACGATTGAAGTAACATGCATTTGATAAACAATAATTATGAAGAATGAAGGCAATGTTACAACTCACGCCCACATGGAGACAATGCTTTTTTTTATTTCAAGTTAGAAATGCGGGTAATTGATAGTCGACTCAGGTCAAACTAAACATGGATATCGGTTTAAGGATAAAAAAATTAATATCTAAGCGGAATTGGATCTGATATGGAATTTTGACGGGGCCAATCAGACACATATTTGGATGAAAAGATTCTAGCGGTATTTTTTCATATATTTCAATCTTTTTGGTATATATGCTAATGTGTACTCCGTATAGAAATAAGAACGTGTGGTATGATTGCCAATGTGACAACTCTCCACCAGAGACCAAATGACATAGAAGTTTACAACTATAAGTCTCCGTACGGCCTTCAACAAGGAACAAAACCCATACCGCACTTTTTTTTATACTTCCTCACCATATCTGTATCAGGACATGTCCGAAATATGATCTAAGACCATCGATGAAGAAATATGAAAAGAACATAGAAAAATACACTGTCACCTCAAGAACCGATATAACAAATGTTTGTTTGCAGTGAGCTTTTAAGCAACCGCACTGGTGAGTTGTTTGGTTCTCAAATGCAAAATTCTTTGCCAATTCATAAAAAGGTGGTCACTTATACCAGGCTTAATTGTCTAAGGCCTATTGTAATACCTTTTCTGTATAACTTGGACGTTTGATCAGAGTTAACAATCTCAGTTCCACTCTCTCTTAGCTCTTTTTGTCCAAACTGCATTTCTCTTGTATTTCTTTTCAAAAAGTTTCTTCACGTGGATAACCAAGAAGTCGGCGAGTTTGATCAAACTCGCGAAGGTATTCTATAAATGTATAAACAATATATGAATTATATATTAATAAAGCACGACTTCCAATTGTGTAATTTTGAACAGGTACATTTGAGATCAAAACTTTGGAAAGCCAAATATATAAAACATTTATTGGATTCTAAACCAAAATACTTAAATAATAAAATGCTCCGTCAAAGCTTGATACGACCGTAGAGGTCGAACCCTGAACAGTTGGAGTAAGTATGGACACAACATTCAAGCTTGATACAGCTCTGAATTAGGATTGTTATTAAATACTTGACCACATATGTTTCTGATACAGAATGGATGTGGTCTTAAAAATTTGAAATTGGACATTACTTATTATGGTCCAATATCCAAAATCTAGATTCATGGTTAGATTCAGCATATCAAAGAACCCAAACAATTCAATTTTTGATGAAATCAAACATAGTTTAATGTTGGACCTTTTGGACCTCAATGTTTACCAATTTGATGACGTGGCCCAAAATCCAAAATATGAATACACGGTTAGATTCAGCATATCAAAGAACCCCATATATTCAATTTTTATTGAAATCAAACGTTTAGTTTTGGATCCCGATTTTGACCGACTTGAAAACATGGTCCCTAATCAAAAACCTAAATATATTTTTGGATTCAGCATATCAAAGAATCCAAAAGTGCTTTTTTGTTAAAGTCAACTAAGTTTAATTTTGACCCTGTGGACCAATATGAAAACGGGGCCCAAAATAAAAAAAATACACAGGTAGATTCAGCATATCAAAGAACCCTAAGAATTAAATTTTTGTTGAAATCAAACAAAGTTTAAATTTTGGACCCTTCAGACCTTAGTATGAATCATTTTGAAAACGGGGCCCAAAATTAAAAATCTAAATACACGGTTAGTTTTGGCATATTAAAGAACCCCAATAATTAAATTTTTGATGAAACCAAACAAAGTTAAATTTTGACCTTTGGACCTCAATGTGGACCAATTTAAATGCGGGGCCCAATATCCAAAATCTAATACATGGTTTGTTTTAGCATATCAAAACACCACAAGAAATAAAGACTCTGAAATTGGTCAAGAAATAAGCACTTTATACAAAGTATTAGAAAAGTTAAGCCCCTTTTTTGCCCCTAATTCCTAAACGGTTAGGACCATAAACCCAAAAAATCAATCACAACCTTCCTTTTTTGGTATGGAATCTTGTGGTACAATTTCATAGAGATCCATGGACTTTTACTCAAGTTGTTGTCCTAAAACAAGAAAATGCTTGTTTTTTGGCCCCTTTTTGGCTACTATTTCCTACACAGTCAGGACAATAACCCGAAACATCAATCCCAACCTTGTTTTTGTGGTATGGAACCTTTCGGTACAATTTCATAATGATCAATAAACTTATACTCAAGTTACTTTCTTAATAACAAATGTCTTCTGACGACAACGACGACGATGACGACGAAGACGATGATGACGACGACGACATCGCCATACCATTATACGCTGCAAACATTTTGCGGTCATATAAAAACGTCTTAGTTAATCTTTAATCAGACTAGACGGAGAAAGATAGCCGTTAGTTCTAGCAGATTGCTGTGAACAAATGAAAATATTTACGCGTCTACATAACTGCATTCAGCTGAAACCCGCCACCGGGTGCGGGAGTTTCTCGCTGTGTTGACGACCCATTGGTGGCCTTGGGCTGTTTTCTGCTCTTTGGTCGGGTTGTTGTCTCTTTGACAATTCCCCATTTCCATTCTCAATTTTATAAACATTACAATAAACCACATTGAAGTCCATGTAAAATATTTGTAGAGAATGTCATTTATTATACTACACGTTAAAATGCCAGATTTTGATTGGTTAATACGAGGGAGATAATTTACTCTATCTCATAAGTTCCGCGGGAGACAATTTTTATGAATGTCACCCTTTCGTGCAGACGAATCAGAAATCGATAATCTATTTGAATAAATAAGTTTAAAGACAATGCTCAAGTTCTACATTTCGTTCTCAAACTTTTTTCATAGACTGTCAACATAAAAAAAAATACATCTTGCTTCACTTTTGTTTTTTTTCTTCTAATAAATGTAACGTTGTTATGTACATGACGTCATAGTTAATTACTTTCATTTTCAATTGAAAAGACATTAATGTCAGAACGTTCAGTATAATCAATTAAATAACACATAGCTGAAAAGGGCCTTGTATTTCATTTAGATATATTGTGCATATAAAATGAATATTATCAAATCCTAATCCTAATCCACTGTCATACAAGTGAGAGGTTTAACAAACTATAAAACTAGGTTTAATTCACTATTTAAGGAAATGCCTGTACCAAGTCAGGAATATGACAATTGTTTTCCATTCGTTTGATGTGTTTGAGCTTTTGTTGTTGCCATTAGATAAAGGACTTTCCGTTTTGAATTTTCCTTCGGTTCGGTATTTTTGTTATTATAATTTTTAAATGATTAATTCCTTAACTTTTAGGTCTAAAATTGATAAATTGGACCATATCAGCAACAGATTTATTAAAAAAAAACTGATTGCTAAGTCTGATGTTGCTCTTTTGACAATAAAAGTCTGTTATGCTAAACAGTAATTTTCTAGGCAAATTTGTTTTTTGTAAAATTAAAGCATTAGATGAAAAATATATAGAAATGATATTAAATGGCACGTTTTGTCACTGATTTTTTTCATATGACGTCATTATTGCATATTTTTCATTATGAAAATCATAATGTTAACTAATTTTGGGTAACTTTTGCGTCATTTAACATTGTTCACTAAATGTGACTGAAAGGAAAATACAAACAAACATAAGAATAGGAAAAATGCGAATAACACCTTATTTTCTAGCCTTCTACATTGTTCAATCAAGCAGCGAATAAACCGTAACAATGTTTGGTTCATTTTCATTTAAGAAATCTAAATGACTTAATTTTATTATGTCTATTCTTTTCATATGATAGTTTTAAATGTCAAAGCTCTATCAGTAATTTCAAATGATTTTGTCTTATGTAGTCAGTAATCATCTAAAATTACCTGTTTAATGTCTTCATATTTCAATACAAGCCATGGGTTGTCACTTGATGACAAGAAATCAGACCATTGTTTTCGGTAAAAGAACCAATTGGAACTCACATTCCGATCTGCCAATGAAAAGTTCATAAATTTTTTAGCGTTTTTATGCAATATCTGAAAAAAAAACTAAATTTATGATATTTCACACTGTAAATCTTAGGATGATAAACGATATAAAAAAAAATTTAAATGAACCTTTTTAATTGCTATATATATGATGTTTTTTTTTTACACAAAAACACCATTATTATTGTTTTAGAACATACTCACCCATTCTCGTCCAATGGAAAATCAGTATTTTCCTTTCTATTTTTCCTAGTACATGGCTTTCCATGCACTATACAATGCTATACGTGAATGACTTCATTGTAGATAACTTATTAAAATGAATACTTAAAAACTGCACAATCCCCGGTGGCAATTTCTGTAGGAAAAGGACAAAAGAAAAAAAATCATGAGTACTGTTGTTTATCTAATTATTATCAATGAAAACAGGAGAATAGAACTATAAAAACATTTTATGTTGAAATTTTAACAATGTTAACGTTTAAATGGCACATATTACATGACTTTGTATTATATAGAAAAATAAAAGAATTGAAAAGGGATCAAAGGTGTAGATAAAAAAAATTTTAATCTAATTTTTATACGAAACCTTAAAATCAATGATTTTATTTTAGAAACAATGACTGCTGATAAAAAAATCAATGGAAGTTTTTTTTAAAAAAAGGCAATACATTCATCCATAAAAAAGTAAGCATCTGATGTTGAAATGATTGTAATTTTAAAATTTATTGATAAAATTATGCAATTTTAGAAACGCTGATTTATATCATTGAGTGCTTTTTAAAAAGAAGGAACTTTAGATATATAAGTATTAAATTGTAACTAAAGCAAAAGAAATCTCAGTTTTTGAATAATTTATCCTGTTTTTGTTATCACAAAACTATCTCATTGCTATTTTATTTCATCTACCTAAATGACCATTAAATATGATTCACATCCCTTTTACTTCTTAAATTTAAAGTGAGTTCATATTAAGGTTTGATTATTACAAGAGGCTAATTTTGTTACTCAATGGTGTGAATATGGTCAGACAATACTTGGTCATGTTTTATGAACATTTTAAACCCTCGACTACGCCTCGGTTTAAATATTTATAAAAAATAACCAATAATTATCTAACCTATACATCAATCCATTCCCGTCATTTAAGACGTATTGACCTGTAAAGAAATTGATTAAGCATTGTAAAAGAAAGGCGAAAGATGCCAAAGGCAAAATCAAATGGTAAGTAGCAACTCGATCGAGAAGATATGATATGCTTTATCTGAAATCTCATAACTTACCATTTGTATATACACTTTTTAGAAAGTCTGAGCATAGAAGTGAGAATTGAGGGAATAGTTACAAGTGGTGATACTGAGATGTAAGAATATCTTTCGGGTTTCGTTCAATAATTATCATTTTACACTTTTACTTAAACGCTTGTTTCGGTAAACATTTTGGCGTAAAATGACAGTTAAATATTCTTGGCCTCTGTAAAATACTGTATTCATCCGGCAAATGGAATTCCAACATACAACATGCTTTAGCTTTAGAATAGTATTCAGCCTTGCCGTTCACTATCATCTGTACCATTTCCCATACCCAGTGAGTTCCTATCAATATAAATATATATGTATAAAGTCCCTTAGATACATCTAAAGGCGGATACACATGACACATGTATAATAACTTAATAAGTGTTGAATGGTAAATATCCAATTACAGTTTTTCTCAGTTCGAAATGTGTAAAGCTTTGACGGACAGACAGACATGACACTCTAACCTTTTTTTTCGAATGTGCGTATAATTAAAATACTTAACGAAAAAAATACCCGACTTTCAGCTTAAAAAAGGATTAATCTGATGGATTGTTGCCTCATTGGCAATCATACCTCATCTTCTTATTTTTATAAGAATTCGTACCACATTTTTATAAGCACAGATGAAAATGTCATCATCGAAGACGTCCATTGTTTGAATTTGTAGTATCATAATTCTTGGATCAGGTAGTATGCCATTCTTTCTGAAGTTTATTCTTGATTCATATTCGTCTACAATTAAATTTTCCACTTTCATATCTTCTGATAAAGTAACTGTTACTACTTCATCCTCATCAGTAATTGGTCCTGTAAACATTTGAAGACAGCATTGAAAACTATATAACTTACTAAATGTTCTTCATTTCTGTTTATGTGATTTGAATTATCGCTTGTCTATATAAATTTTTAAATTTCAATTATAAAGGACATATTATAAATTATAATTGAAGCTGATAAGGAAATTTTAAAGTTTTTTTTTATGTAGTATGAGTTAATTTGGCAAAAGCACATAACATGATGAAATGAATACTGATTAATCTTAACAGGAGTAATTCACATTTGAAATGATTAATTCAGAATTTCGTAGGTAAAGGAAGGTGTATTTCTACTTCGCTAAAATGGTGTCCTCCCAATTTTTGTGTTTTCTTTTTTATAAACCAATAAAAAGAATGTCATTGTTATGATGACATATCGTGATTGGAACTTCTGAAAATATTATTGTGTTATTACCATTATTAGTTGAAAGTTTGTACCTGAGATGACACCCGGTTTTTGGTGGGGTTTGTGTTACTCAGTCTTTAATTTTCAATATTGTGTTTTGTATACTGTTGTTTGTCTTTTGGTCTTTTTTTTATTTGATTGGTATACCATATATATAGTCACGGCGAATTTAGAAACATGATTAGGAAATGTAGGTTATCAGTTGTAAACTGAGCAGACGATTTTTTTTTAAATTGTCGGTTCATTATGCACATAAATCAATCGATAGGCAATATTTACAAAAAATTAAAAAAGAATAAATAAAGACCAAAAACTCATAGGGCACTACATGTAAAGAATAGATGTATACATACCTTCATAAAAAAAAAATCAGCCCAACGTATTTGTTTATCTACATTTGTAATTGTGAAATGGGTCATACACAAACAAATGTATCAAAATTAATAATAGTACACTTCTGAATTGAAGAATTGAAGAACAAAATTGAGGAAAACTCACCAAAATGATACTTTCCTTTAGCTATAATTTCCCACTTGTAAAATCTAGGATACAAAAAAAATATTGATCAATCTGCTGTCAGCCACAGTCTACCGTGAAAACAAGTATCAATAACAGCAGTGTTGAAATCTGGGCAATTTTACTGCTTACATTAAAATGTAACCGCCATTGTAGACCGTGTATATTGACGCCAAACATTTTTCATTTTAAGCTGAAAAAATAGATTTTGCAAAATACGCTACAAATTTTAAAGTTAATTGGTTTGATAAATGTAACAAAAATCTGTTGAAGTCACTTCTGAAAAATCATTTTCGTTATGAGATTTGAATTTGTAATTTTCATGAGATAACATTATTTGATTTCACGAGGATAATCTAAAAAGTAATAGTAAGTTTGTCTTAAAAAGATTTCATCTTATCAACAGCTTGAATAAATTAAAACATTCGAATTTGATTGTTTTAGAAAAAAACAAATTTCAATCTCCTTCTAAAGAACAAAATATTGAAATTGCTAACCTTGAGCATTTTTCAATTTGCCTTAAAAAATTGAAAAATGAAAAATGCTCCAACGTGGAGCATTTTTCAATTTGCCTTTAAATATTGAAAAATGAAAAATGTCCCGTATTGGTTGAATGTTCGTCTTTAGAAAATTTTCTCAAAAATGAAAATGTTTTTGTGTGGAGCATTTTTCAATTTTTGTAATCGTTTGACAAAATGAAAAATGCTCCAAAGAGGAGCATTTTTCATTTTTCAAATTTATCAAAGATATTGAAAAATAGATAATCAAATTATTTTTTCATTCATTGTTAACACTTTAGAAGTTTTGTTTTTATGCTTTAAATATAATACACATGTGTGTATGTGTGAACCCGTATATACACATTTATTACCTTACCGCGAAAAGATAGAACAACAACGCACCAGCAAAATTATTTGATGTGGCGCAGGATTATTATGCAATTGTTATTTCCCTTGTTTAAAACCATAAATTTTATATTTCCCTATTTTGTAATTTACATTCAGGTTAACTAAATATTCTCTATATATATGTTAAATCAAATAGATATTGGTATGTTGAATTCATTGATAAAGATATTTATTTTTACTCTCAAGTTTAGTACACTGTATTTACATCGTTGTAAAACATTTGTAAACTTCTTTTAAAAGTTAATGTACATTGAATAAAAGATCTGAGCAATTTGCCTGTGTGTAGATCAAAGCATAACTATGTCTGCTCTTAAAAACACGTATTTGTTGTGGCTATCCAAAGGATTATGCATAGTTGATCATAGTTGAAAGCAATAACAATGTGCCCTTAGCTTTACCTTAGTTTACCCGAAGCCGAGAGAGTTGACCTGAATGTAAAGTAAATATAAAAATATTGAAACAGAAAATTCTATTAACATAAAACATAAATTTCGTACTTTCATGCACTGGCTACGGGTTTGGTGATACCATTGGTGTCAACCTAGAAAAGGTGTAAAGATAAAAATAACACATAGGAAAGCTGTTCTTTTCCCAGTCTCCCTGTATAAGGTTGATGAATATGCCATATTCCATCTAAATACGGCTTATTTTGGAAGTCATTGAATGCTCCATTTCTTAACTAGATAAAATGATATAATTTTCACTGTTTTTGGTTTTTATTTACTTAGCTATTTAGATACCAATAGTGCTTTAACATTTGGCATCCATCGTCTCTGTTTACAACTAGAACAAGCTGTGGTCCACATCTCCGAATCTCAATCAAAATTACTCATGCTACATTTTGGTCCCGCGAGTTGGATGTTGAATTTTACAGCAATTTTTCTGTTTTTAACTGATCAGAAATACATTATTTTGGGAAAACTAATCAGGAATGAAGCAGACATTTAAGTCAGTGCTCGGTGGAACTAGATACGACTGTCTTTAGGAGACAAGTTTTGAAGATTTAATTGTTCCTGTGGTCTTTTATTTTTATAGTATGGTTTATTTGGTAAATGTATAGTCATAATAGGTTTGATGTTGTCAACACTGATATTGCTGATTACTTTGTTCATTTTGAGACAGATTTTCTATTATTTGGAATGAATTTGAGATGTCATTTCAGTTAAAAACGAACTTCAAATGTCCAGCTAGTTTACGTTTCTCTAGATATAAGAAGATGTGGTATGAGTGCCAATGAGACAGCTCGCCTTCTAAGTCACAATTTTTAAAATAAAAACCATTATAGGTCAAAGTACGGTCTTCAACACAGAGTCTTGGTTCACACCGAACAGTAAGCTATAAAGTGTCCCCAAAATGACTAGTGTAAAACTATTCAAACGGGAAAAACAACGGTCTAATTTATATACAGAACGAGAAACACTTATAACCACATCAACAAACGACAACAAAGAACATTAGAACAAAACCTTTGAACAGACTTATTAAGAAGGGATATAGTTACGATGCTGTTGTCAGGTCATTAAAGATTGCATATTTTGGCTTCAATATTGATTCACTTAAAGGGTCTTTACATCGGAATTAAACACATTTATTAAAAAACCAGTTGTTGGCATGACACGGGTTATGTTCTTCTCTTAAATATTTTATGATTGTATAATACTGAACCCTTACCGGGAGTTGCCTGATATTCCTATGATGAAGACATACTCTTTCAATCAGTTTAATTGAGGTCTGGAGCTGGCATGTCAGTAACTGCTAGTAGTCTGTTGTTATTTATGTATCATTGCCATTTTGTTTATTTTCTTTTGTTACCTCTTCTGACATCGGACTCGGACTTCTCTTGAATTGAATTTTACTGTGCGTATTGTTATGCGTTTACTTTTCTACATTGGCTAGAGGTATAGGGGGATGGTTGAGATCTCAAAAAACATGTTTAACCCCACCGCATGTTTGCGCCTGTCCCAAGTCAGGAGCCTCTGGCCTTTATTAGTCTTGTATTATTTTTAATTTTAGTTTTTTTGTGTTTAATTTGTTTAGTATGACGTCTATTATCACTGAACTAGTATATATATATATGTTTAGGGGCAAGCTGAAGGATGCCTCCGGGTGTGGGAGTTTCTCGCTGCATTGAAGACCTATTGGTGACCTATTGGTGACCTTCTGCTGTTGTCTGTTCTATGGTTGGGTTGTTGTCTTTTTGACACATTCCCCATTTCCATTGTCAATTTTAGAAAAGGGTATTGTCTGTTTGAAAAAATAGATGGTACAAATATATTATGTCTGAACAACACTAAAATCTTATTCCGACATTACAGATGGAATTTTATTTCATTAACGTGAATGAGGTCGGAGTGACT